GGATGAGATTTCCTTCTCGGATATAAAAACTCTAGATGACATCTACTTTACAGAAATGTAAACGAGATAACTTAGATTGAAAGCAGCATGTGTGTCTATATATACTTCCTAGTTTAGGCCAGAGGCATGGACCAGATTTAGTAAGGAGACTTGTCACAGGGGCACTTGCGAAGTCCTGTGGTTTGAGCTGTGTAAACAACTGCATGGACACCAAACAGAAGAAGGGTAATTTAGCAGCAACATCTCTAATAAGATTAAGGGGATTTTGTCTTAAGCAAGCTTAATATGAGTCAATAATACGATGCGACTGCTGTTTACCAAGAACATTCTACAAACATTGATTTGATGTTCTAACTATGTAATGGAAGTTTTAAAGTCTATTCATAGAAATATTCAAAACAAATGTTCCCCAAACCAGCACAGACAATTGCTGGATGTTAACTAGTTTTTATGGGGCGGGGGTTGCTGGTTTGGGAAATGGCAGGGTGGATAACTGAACATCTCTGTTCGGGGAGTTTCTGGGCCTTAAGTTATTGTGCATTGTGAATTTCCCAAAGGGGGCTGCAGTTGCCAGATCTTTGGTGACAGATGGAACAGGGCTGCTGGCGGTTTTGCTTGTTTCTGGGCTCATCCGACTACACCCAGATGGACACCACCGTTTGTCAAATAGAGATTGCTGGGTCGGTATTCAGAGAGCAACCACGATGGGGAGCCTTGAATGGTAGTCTGGGAAGGGGTTGCGGGTGGGAAAGCGGGGGAAGGTCGAAGGAAAACCAGAAGGTAAAAGTGGGAAACACTTGGGGCCTAACCCAAAGTAGAATTTCCTCGGGGGGGGGGACTGTATTTTACATATTGACTCTGCGTTTGGGGAATCATAGGGTTGTGTGGAAGCGTGACGTGGTATTGAAGAGTGTTCTTCAAAATCCCATCCCATCCCAAGTCTGTGGATTTGTGATTTTTCCTTTTGTTTGGCAATATTCCTCAGTTTTTATGTCAGCATTGTGGTAGTTCCTCCTGTGGATAATTAGAAAAAGCATTAATAATACGTGATCTTTGTGAATTTATTAGTTAAATGGCAAGACTAACGTGTGATACAGTTGGTAACAAACCAAGACAAAATAAATAAAAGTCAAACTTTTGATCATCACTGATAGACAGTCACAGAAATTCCAGGAAGGGGAAGACTAGCTTGGTACCAAAGGCTTCCTCAAGAAGTGTGCAGACTGGGTTTGAGGTGTTGGTAGGATTTGCATGGCAGAAAGAGCCAAGCCACTGCAAGTCAGTGGCAGCTCAGGGATGAAGGCCAAAGACGTAGAAGGCCTTTTGAGCAGGAGCAATGTGGACAGATCTGCAAGGAAGATGGGGCCAGCAGCAGAGTGCAGGAAATAAAGATTTGAGAGCTACTTCTTTAAGAATAAGCATTTAATAGGCCGGGAGCTGTGGCTCATGCCTGTAATTCTAGCACTGTTTGGAGGCCAACGCAGGTGGATTGCCTGAGCTCAGGAGTTCAAGAATAAGCATTTAAGCCATGTCAGTTCTTGGGATCTTTGAAGGAAAGGTTGTGGCTAGATGTACATGGGTGAGTGAGGCATTAAAGCTTAGCGGTTAAGAGCATAGACACCTGGATCACATCCCAGCTCTCTCAGTTGACTTTTGTGAGGGTACTTGCAGAAACTGAAGCCTGGGGAGTGAGCTGTAAATTGGATAGTATTACTTGCCTCTTAGGATAATTATGAGGATTAAATGAGATAAAGAATCATGTAATTAAGTGCTGAATAAATGTTGCTTACTATTCTTATTTAGTGTGTAGCTGAAATTCCCCAAGGCAGTGGTTCTGGAACTGTGGTCCTCATGCCAGCAGCAGTTGTGTGTTACCTGTGAGCTTGTTAAGTGCAAATTTGAGGTCCCACTCAGACACTCTGGTATCTTCTGGGGTTGGGGTCTCGGAAACAGGCTTCACCGAGCTCTCTGGGTGACAGGCTGCAAAGACTTTGACAGCAGCTTCCCTAGAGGACTCCCACAGCTGAGGTTCAAAGCGGGGAAGGATATTTAAAAGAGGGACGAAGCCACTGTGTGTGTCCTTTGCAGTGAGGAGGAAAAGAGATGGAGAATTCTCTGAAGCACCTAACCAAAAGCTTTACGTACAATATTTAATAAACATTTGTTTGTATATTATTAGGGACAGTTGGTTTAGTAGTATGGTAGGGATGAAGGGAAAATTTCAGGGCACTGGGGACATGTTACATAGCCCAAGTGGTAAAGACACCACACAAGTAAATTAGGAAGTTGGTATTAGATGAGGTTTAACTCAGGTTTCACGAGTATTTGTGGACTGCCTACCCACTGTGGCTGGCACTGCACTGTGTGCTGTGAATACACAGTGAGATGTTACTCTTGCTTCCAGAGGCTTTGCGGAATTACACGTCGTAAAGGATTTGAGCTCTTTTTTCCTTAAAACTTTTTCTAGCTACTAGAATAAACACGTCTGATCTGTCCTTTGACAGTGGTGAAAGCCACACATACGGTTATTTTCAAGTCAATCCAAGGCTCGATTTCAGACCACTTCCTTTCTGGAAGCATTTTGAACATTAACTTCTTGTGCTTGTTGTGTTATGGCTTGGGATATACCTCAGAGATGATTTGAAAGCTTTTGGAAGATCTTATGTCCCTGTTTAATGTCGGCCACCTGGGCTTTATTGTGCCAAGTCAGTTTGTCCCCAAACCCACCTCCCTCCATTACCAGTATAAGCGACAAACATAATGGCTTGAAATAAAGTAAGTTGACTTCTGAGCTTCACCCATTCAGAAGCCGTTCATTTACTGCCAGTTATGTTCTGGGCACTGTGATAATAGTGATGAAACAGAATGTCAACAGCACAGATCTTGTAGAGGTGCCAGAATTGACAGCCTAAGGCCAGGTATACCGAGCGGGAGGAGTGGCCCAGGCAGGAGGCCCTGTACCGCCTGGGGCCTGATTGGAGGTCAGCCAGGTGTTCAGATGATTTCACTTCCAGACACCCACACAGGTTAGATTTGTAAGTGTGCTGTCTTTCATAACCCTTCTTTCATAATGCTGAGGGGAAAGTGAGGAAATTAGAATGACTGGTTAAGAAACTATGTTTAGGCCAGGTGTGGTGGCTCATGTCTATAATCCCAGCGCTCTGGGAAGCCAAGGATTGCTTGAGCTCACAAGTTAGAGACCAGTCAGAGCTAAAGCAAGAGCAAGACTCGTCTCTAAAAAAAAATAGTTGGGCTTTGTGGCAGGCACCTGTATAGTCCCAGCTACTGGGGAGGCTGAAGCAAGAGGTTCAGAATTGGAGGTTGCTGTGAGCTATGATGCCACGCCACTCTTCTGGGGGCAAGAAAATGAGACTCTGGCTCAGCACTTGAAGCTCAGCGGCTCGGGCACCAGCTATATACACCGGAGCTGGCAGGTTTGAACCCAGCCTGGGCCTGCTAAATGACAATGACAATTGCAACAAAAAATAGCCCGGCATTATGGTGGGCACCTGTAGTCCCAGCTACTTGGGAGGCTGAGGCAAGAGAATC